TTTTTCCTTTTCCTTCTTTCTTCCTTTGTCAGCATAACGCCCTCCTAATTTTAAGGAACGTTTCGAAATATCTTTGAGTTATTTATTATTTCCTATGTAAAATAGTACTAAATATACAATATGCTAATTATTATACTGAATTTTGCATCTGAGTACGTTCAAGCGGAGTATTGAACATCTTGTTCCAAAAGTAAGACACGCAGAACTTTCAACAGCGGGTGATGTTGTTTCTCTCCCTTCCCCCGATTTTGCCAGTCCTCCAGATATTCACTTTACTTTTGTCACATTGTTTGCTTTGTTTGTTCTGCCATCCTCCAGGTCTATACACAACCTTTCCTTTCGACGGTTTCTGCAAACGTCAGTATTGCGAATATGAACACGGAAATAAAGACATTCAAAAAAAGTCCAACTTACTTTATGATCATTTTTGGACTGCTTATTGCGAGGCAGATACAGACATCGTGATGTGAGATGGTGATATTAAGTACGACTGCCCTTCCAGGAACTTGTTGTTGTTGTTTTGTTTGAGTGTGAGTTGAACAACGAACGACCCCCCCCCCCCAACATGACCGCCTCCGGTGTAATTGTCACTCACAGTAGCGCGATCGCGCGATCGCGAAGTCTGAACGCGCTCTTAGTAATGCTAGGAATTAAAATTATGGTGACGAAATAGACTTCATGCAGCTTTGGACCTGAAGAACTTGTGTGACAAAAGGCGGCAGGCTGGCACTTGCTGTAATAGGTAAAAGTTGTTAAAGGCAGCGTCCGCGATCAACCAAAGTGAAAAAACCCTCCAATGAAAACGAACGCGGAGTTCGCAACCATAGCGGATATCCCACTCTTGCGGCTCGAAATGTATTGATTGACGAGGGCGGAGTCAACAAGGCTGAGCTGACGCCTCCTTCCCTGTTAATCCCGCCCCGACTGGTTAACAGTTATCAGTGCTTGCTGGCATTGATAAACGCTGTTTCTGGAGTTCCGAGCCGGCGACGTGTATTGGAGAACTCACCAAAGCTCTGCACTTCGTCACATGCCTTAAATTTCCGTTAGGGTTCTTATTTCACGGCTCTTCCACACCTCTTTTCTAAAACTTTTTCTGATAGTGCTTCATTGAGTCGCACGCTGTATCTAAACAAATTTGACCCCTGAGCACCTGCCAAAGTCCATGCGCGGCGCTGTCTTTAATATGATAACTGCAGTTTCAAAGCCGCGAATGCCGCGCTTCGTTAGTTATTTACTGCAGAAGGCCTGAGTGTGGGCCAAAAGTCAGACACAGGCGCGTTGGGAATAGAGCTGAAGATTGCAGGCATCCTTTTTTCACCCTTAAATTAGCTGCTCCATGACTGCACCATTGCAAAAGGCGGCCGCTGTCACAATATATAATGCAGTAATATATTCCAAAGTTTTGTGTATGCGCGTGATACAGGGATCCTTGACTTTAGAGCCACTTTCTGTGGTTGCTCTTTTTCTTTCTCAGAGGTGCCCCTAATTGATTAGTTGCATCTGCCTACATTACTTGTAGCGTTGCTGTGATTTTTTTATTGCTTTTGATTCTGGACCGAGATATTTTGATATGGCATCTAGACTATCCACGCGGGATCAAATGCTTTCTATAAGCGAATCTCGGCGTAATGGCTCGTATAGGCAATCTATACGTATACGTGTAATGCAATTTGGCGTATTCATCAGCGCTGTCCGTCTCTTTTGTTGGCGGGGGCAAAGTCCTTTCACAACGATTTTGGTAGTATGGCTCAATAAAGGGGTTTGCGTTCTTGTTCATATTTTGAAATATTTGTGAAGAACTCGTGTCTAGCGTTCTGAAAGCCCAATGAAGTTACGGGGTAAAAAGGGGAAAAGCAGGGATCTTCCCCTTCTTCCCCCGCTTTCAAAGCATGCTATCAGGTATCGGGGCACAGCAGTCCGTTGCACAACATTCTGGATAAATATGACCTTCTTCAATTATTCTCCTTTTTTCCGAGCCGAACTGTACAATCCCCTTCACAATGTGTCGTGCCAAATGGTCTCCGTGACCTGACGTTTATCTCAGTCAGTGTCTCACAACTTGCCCGCCTTACCAAGATCCCCCAACTTCGTGCTCATTTTCCAAGTATTTCTTCTGTTTCTACCAGGAAATCGTCGAGCAGATGGGAGAGGGGGTAAACAGCGCACTTGAGACGGCGAAAATGCGGGAGATTGCGCGACGAGTGTTAGCGATCTGGAAATTGCGGAGATCGAGCGATTTGGCGACGAGGGAGACACAGCTTTTCCTGCGATTTCGCGCCAAAAGGAATTGGTGGGGACCTCCCGAAACTCCAAGAACACCCATATTCGCAGACCCCTAGCGGCGCCAATCGACAGCCATCCGCTCCTTTTGCGCGCAATCGCAAGAAACGCGAGTCTCCCGAATCGCCGGATCGCTCAGTCTCCGCGTCGCCGGATCGATATCTATGCTTTTCTCATCACTTCGTCGAATGACCCAAATCGCCTCGTCTACTAAATCACGCAATCTCCTCAGTTACAAAGGATGAACTCGGCTTTGCGCTGCAGCGCATCATCACCGATTGAAATCTTAGTTACCATGTACCTTGTAGGTGCAAGCACTGGAATTACCCTGAGACGCTACCAAGTGTTTCGGTGGTCATTGTTTTTCACAACGAAGGATGCGACACCGCTTGAGAACTTGCATTCCTCATGTTGCGATCCGCCCCCCTCACTTATCAGGAGATAGTGATGGTGGATGATTATTCAGCGATAAGGTGTCGTTTGACTCTCGGTTATCCTATAGTAGTAAAAATAACTTTCCATTTCCTATTTCCAGAGCACCTGAAGGAAAAGCTGGATAAATATATCAAGCGATTCAATGGAAAGGTGAGTGCTCGTTGCGTGTATCTTATCCGTGTTGCTCACCCGCAAATTGTTCCCAACGGTGGCTCATGTTTGACATAGGGCTTGTTTGCACAAATATCGAATGGTTTGGCGCAGCTGAGTGGGTACGAGTGTTTCGCCTCTAAAACCTACGTTCATTCTTTGCTAATGTAGGGAATACGTGATTTTCGAATCCGCTCCGAGTGCTATTGATCTTAGCTATAGAACTCGGAGAAACTCTGCGAAGCGAAGAATGAATAAAATACATTGTTTTACGAATCCATTCAATCTCGCCCACAAGCGTCGTCGGAGATTTTGAGGATGTGAATTCTTTCCATTCGCGGAATCTTTACATTTGCAAAGTATGAGCGACGGAGAGAGTATGAGCTTTTAGCGGCGATCTCGAATGATATGTCGGTTCAACAACTGCTGTTTAATTTAACGCCGCATTGCGCGATGCGAGAGTGATCCGTGAAGGCTGAGTTATGCGCAAAATCGGAACCCGAATGGGACCCGAACCCGCATCTTTCTAGCTTTCCGTGCTGTTGCGTTATTTATTACGCTACTGAGGCCGCTTTTGCCTCTTAGCCAGGACATGCCATCGTTGTGATGATCACAACGGGAAAGTCGTGTTTGACCGCGAGGGAGGGGGGAGGTCATATTTGGTCTGAGAAAATTTTTTTGGTAGTTGATTTTCAAATTGTTTTTGGTAGTTAATTGTCTTTTTTTCACGGACGCCACTGCTAAAGGGGGAGCGCGGAGTCGTGTTTATTATGCGTCGTTGGTGGGAGAGCGGGAATTGCCAAAGATCTATGCACACTACTATTCTATTTCCGTCATTAATTTATCCTTGACGACCCCTTTTCCCCATCCCCCTCCCCCCGCTCGACAGCAAAATTTTGGGGAAAAACCAGAAAAAGTGGTAGGAAGTTGGGAAAATCCAGGAAAGTGGTAGGTAGCATGAGGAAGTGGGGGGAGGGCGTTTTTCTCAGGCAGTGATCACAACGCGATGGCGTGCCCTGCTCTCAGCTCAGTGGCTTTTTTGTGCCGTTGCCTTCCAGCACTCACGCGTCTAACCTGTTGAGCGGAAAGGTGGAGGTGCGGTTCGAGTCCGTCAGTGGTACTTTTCGCACACAACTCAGCATTCACGTGATAGCTTCCATTTATAGAAATTTGGGCAGGTGTACCTGCTAGAGCTGTATCATGCCCCATGTTTGTAAAGGTGAGACTCGTCCGAACGGAGGATCGTGAAGGGCTGATTCGTGCTCGAACGATTGGAGCGAAACATGCAACGGCTGATGTGGTCATTTTCCTTGATGCTCATTGCGAAGTGAATACGAATTGGTTGCCGCCTTTGCTGGCTCCAATCAAGAACAACAGGTGAGGACTATTGTTTACTTTTCCTCTCTTCACTTAAGGTGTTTCTGATGGGCACCATCATTTGAGTGGACGAGAGCTGGCAGTCGATGAATGTGGCTGCCAGGCGCTGATTTGGCCGGCGGGGGGGGGGAGGGGAATATTGCACATCACGTTAACTACGTTATTCCATTCGACGTGCCAAACCCATCTAGACAGCCTCGGTCTCAAGTTGACAGGTTTACCATGATGGCTTGACGAGCTTGCTCCAGCTTCACAAGAGTTCACAGGTTTCACCAGAGTGAGACTTGTAAACCAGAACTAGTGAAGCAACGAAAGTGCAAAATGCCCCCCCCCTCCCGTCGGCAAACTGTGTCTCGCTGTTGTTGTAATCCAGCCGCTGCAAGAGTTCCATCCGTCACGCTCGCGATGGCGTTAATATGGTAAAATGTGTATCACCGGGCAGTGCCGGATGCAGTATGACATGGGCTTTGATGTTTCGAACACGGGGACAAAAAAGCGCGCGCCAGATATCGGTAGTACGATTCCTCGCGCACGTCTTCTTGAGAGGTCGTAACTTTTGTAACTGGCTTTCCAAATTTATCTCTCTCTGGGAAGTTACGGGGTAATAAGGGCAAAACAGGATCTCCCCTTTTCCTCCCCCGTTTCAGACAGTATCAGGTATCGGGGCACAGCAGTCCGTTGCACAAAATTCTGGATAAATATGACCTTCTTCAATTATTCTCCTTTTTCCGAGCCGAACCGTACAATCCCCTTCACAATGTGTCTTGCCAAATGGGTGACTTGGCGTTATCTCAGTCAGTGTCTCACAACTTGCCCGCCTTACCAAGATCCCCCAACTTCGTGCTCATTTTCCAAGTATTTCTTCTGTTTCTACCAGGAAATCGTCGAGCAGATGGGAGAGGGGGGTAAACAGCGCACGTGAGACGGCGAAAATGCGGGAGCAAGAAACTATGCCATCGCTTCATTAGCGCAGTGAGGGAACACTTTTACACATTTACGACCCCCTTCAAAAGCGGCTAAATTACGACCGCCTGCTTTGAGTTTTTCATAAGGAGAGCTGTGCTCTCATGGCTTCTTGATTGATTTCCAAAGAAGTTTTTCCTTCCTTGTATTCACACACTCTATTCCCGTCTAGGCCACAGATTCTTCTATCCGTTATGCGTTGATGTTAGACCGCTTCATACTTCGTGACTAAGGAGATTCGACGATTCAAGAGATTGCGCGACGAGTGTTAGCGATCTGGAAATTGCGGAGATCGAGCGATTTGGCGACGAGGGAGACTCAGCTTTTCCTGCGATTTCGCGCCAAAAGGAATTGGTGGGGACCTCCCGAAACTCCAGAACACCCATTATTCGCAACCACTAGGCGGCGCCAATCGACAGCCATCCGCTCCTTTTGCGCGCAATCGCAAGAAACGCGAGTCTCCCGAATCGCCGGATCGCTCAGTCTCCGCGTCGCCGGATCGATATCTATGCTTTTCTCATCACTTCGTCGAATGACCCAAATCGCCTCGTCTACTAAATCACGCAATCTCCTCAGTTACAAAGGATGAACTCGGCTTTGCGCTGCAGCGCATCATCACCGATTGAAATCTTAGTTACCATGTACCTTGTAGGTGCAAGCACTGGAATTACCCTGAGACGCTACCAAGTGTTTCGGTGGTCATTGTTTTTCACAACGAAGGATGGACACCGCTGTTGAGAACTGTGCATTCCGTATTGCTGCGATCGCCCCCTCAACTTATCAAGGAGATAGTGATGGTTGATGATTATTCGGATAAAGGTTCGTTGACTCTCGGTTATCCTATAGTAGTAAAAATAACTTTCCATTTCCTATTTCCAGAGCACCTGAAGGAAAAGCTGGACAAATATATCAAGCGATTCAATGGAAAGGTGAGTGCTCGTTGCGTGTATCTTATCCGTGTTGCTCACCCAAATTTGTCGATCGGCTAATGTTTGAGTAGGTGGCTTGTTTGCACAAATATCGAATGGTTTGGCGCAGCTGAGTGGGTACGAGTGTTTCGCCTCTAAAACCTACGTTCATTCTTTGCTAATGTAGGGAATACGTGATTTTCGAATCCGCGTCCAGTGTATTGATCTAGTAGAACTCGGAGAACTCTCGAACGGAAAAATGAATAATAAACAATTGTTTACGAATCCATTAATCGCCCACAAGCGTCGTCGGAGATTTTGAGGATGTGAATTCTTTCCATTCGCGGAATCTTTACATTTGCAAAGTATGAGCGACGGAGAGAGTATGAGCGAGTATGAGCTTCTAGTGGCGATTCATTGAATGTATTCGGTTCAACAACTGCTGTTTAACGCCGCATTGCGCGATGCGAGAGTGATCACGTGAAGGCTGAGTTATGCGCAAAATCGGAACCCGAATGGGACCCGAACCGCATCTCTAGCTTTCCGTGCTGTTGCGTTATTTATTACGCTACTGAGGCCGCTTTTGCCTCTTAGCCAGGACATGCCATCGTTGTGATGATCACAACGGGGGGTCGTATTTGACCGCGAGGGAGGTCGTATTTGGTCTGAGAAAAATTTTTTTGGTAGTTGATTTCTCTTGTTTCACGGACGCTATAAAGGGGGGGGGGGGTCGTATTTGGTCGTTGTTGGGAGAGGGACTGCCAAAGATCTATACAACTACTATTCTATTTCCGATAGTTGAAAATGATAGTTAAATCCTGACGACCTCCTTTTCCCCATCCCCCCCCCCCCGCTCGACAGCAAAATTTTGGGGAAAAACCAGAAAAAGTGGTAGGAAGTTGGGAAAATCTAGGAAAGTGGTAGGTAGCATGAGGAAGTGGGGGAGGGCGTTTTTCTCAGGAAATGATCACAACGCGATGGCGTGCCCTGCTCTCAGCTCAGTGGCTTTTTGTGCCGTTGCCTTCCAGCACTCACGCGTCTAACCTGTTGAGCGGAAAGGTGGAGGTGCGGGTTCGAGTCCCGTCAGTGGTCCGACTTTTGCACACAACTCAGCATTCACGTGATAGCTTCCATTTATAGAAATTTGGGCAGGTGTACCTGCTAGAGCTGTATCATGCCCCATGTTTGTAAAGGTGAGACTCGTCCGAACGGAGGATCGTGAAGGGCTGATTCGTGCTCGAACGATTGGAGCGAAACATGCAACGGCTGATGTGGTCATTTTCCTTGATGCCCATTGCGAAGTGAATACGAATTGGTTGCCGCCTTTGCTGGCTCCAATCAAGAACAACAGGTGAGGACTATTGTTTACTTTTCCTCTCTTCAGTAAGAAGGTGTTTCTGATGGGACGTCATTTGAGTGGAGAGAGCTGGCAGTCCGTGAACTGCTGCCAGGCGCTGTTTGGCGGCGGGGGGGGGGGGGGGGGGGGGGGGGGGGGGGGAGGGGGCATTTTGCACTTTAACGACTTCCCATCGACGTGTCGACCCATCTAGACAGCCTCTTCTCGAGTTGACAGGTTTTACCATGATGGCTTGACGAGCTTGCTCCAGCTTCACAAGAGTTCACAGGTTTCACCAGAGTGAGACTTGTAAACCAGAACTAGTGAAGCAACGAAAGTGCAAAAGCCCCCCCCCCCCGTCGGCAAACTGTGTCTCGCTGTTGTTGTAATCCAGCCGCTGCAAGAGTTCCATCCGTCACGCTCGCGATGGCGTTAATATGGTAAAATGTGTATCACCGGGCAGTGCCGGATGCAGTATGACATGGGCTTTGATGTTTCAAACACGGGGACAAAAAAGGCGCGCAGGATATGGTAGTAGCGATTCCTCGGGCGTCTTCTTGAGAGGTCTAACACTTTATCAACTGGTTTCAATTAATGTGTTGAAGGAGGCCTATTTTTTATGGTTTTGTAGAATAAAAACATTTTATTCAATTGTTATCCATTTTATTGTAGTTTTCTACATCATTACTGGCCATATCATTGCAGGCGAGTAATGACTGTACCAGTTATTGATGGTATTGATGCTAAAACTTGGGAGTATCGCAGTGTATATGGACAAGCAGATCGTCATTTCAGGTGTGTCCTTTCAAGAAATGATGTTTCACGGGGCATCCATTTTTCACAGAATTTTAACGTTTCTGATCTCCTTTTTATTGTATCGGCTGAATGAATTGTTTCCAGCGGAATATTCGAGTGGGGTCTTCTCTACAAGGAGACAGCAATTTCTGAAGCTGAAAGAAATAGTCGACCTCATAATAGTATGCCGTTCCGGTGAGTGGTTTTTGATTAAGCACGGTGTGAGATAAATTAATTGCAAGGCTAGAATCCTACCCTTAGGTTTTCGCAAGCCTCCGCCAACGCAATAATTGTTCTTAGTTGGAAGTTATCCAATTTTATCCATAACTTGTGTACCAATCTTTGTACCATCTAGTTCTCCGACACATGCCGGTGGACTCTTCGCCATTGATCGACTATGGTTCCAGGAGCTTGGTTATTATGACGAAGGTCTTCAGATTTGGGGTGGCGAACAGTATGAGTTGAGCTTCAAGGTAGGCTTCGTCTTTTTTATGTGAGAAAAAGGTGGATCGGGAATGATTTTGGATTTTTCCTGATAGGTGGTGAAGACATCCACTTTTTCCCCTAATACCGCGTCCAGACTTCGCGGTCGGATCGACCCGTCCGCGCGATGCAATCGAGCGACCCACTCGCAAAATCTGAATGCGGTCTTACAGTCGTGTGAGAAAGGAGAGTGCGGGAGATGTCGCTCTGGCAGCTGGCGAGAATCATACCCATCTTGCAATGGCTCCAAGTTAGTTGATCCGAACACCAGAGGGATGATTCCTAGCACGCTACTAGGTTAGTAGGAGCAAAACGAAAATTTTTTTGATTTTCATCCATTCGGGCCATCACCTGTTTCACATGGAGTTCATGTGTGTCCTTTTCCTTTCCATATGTATCCCTGTGTATGTCTGCCGTGACACACCATGTGTGTCTCGCGACCACTCGGGGAGATTTTCAGCTGCGTTCATTTGTAATTGGGGTTCTATCCTAAAACTTCGCTTACAAAGGTCATTTGGGCCCCCTGATCATGAGTATATGATTCTGTTTTGACGCAGGGATGAATTTCCCAGCTTCGCTGACGTTATCTGGTGCCAATAGGATATACTTTTCCACCGGGAGCGATGTGCGACTTTGGGTCTCATAGCCGCTTTTACTGATAAAGGAAGTTTTTCACCATTTCGACTTTCTTGTTAAGCGAACTTTTCTCCGAACATTGTACGTCGTGCACTATGCCGATTGAGATGTATCAATTTGGCGCCGTCGTTTAGTCTAACACGGTAAGTCATCCATCCATCCTCCGAGAGTAATTGCCGACTGATGATCGGTGTGACCTCGACCCACTCCTTAACTGTCTTCGAATCCGCTGAACGGTCTCATACACTGAACTCTGCCCTTGACCATGTTGTTTTGCGGAATAGTGTTTGGGGGCGACTAGAGAGAGGGTCTGATTTTTCACAAATACGAACACAGGGATCAGTTCGTTCTAGTAGTAGTTAGTCTCAAATTTTTTTCCAAATAATTGTTCCAGATATGGCAGTGTGGCGGTGGCATATTATTTGTGCCGTGCTCTCATGTCGGACATGTGTATCGATCGCATATGCCTTATTCTTTTGGGAAACTCTCAGGGAAACCCATCATTGCCACTGTAAGTCTCATCTTTATGTTCATGCTAATTTTTTTTCTTAAAACTTTGGCGGAGTTGGCTTTAAGAAGGGAACATTCTGCACATTTCGGCAGGGCTTTCCCCGCAAGCTCCGGTTGCTTTACAATGAGTTTGAGGTCACAGGTATTGCTATTAGCAAGATGACTAAACAGTTTCTGAAAACGCTTGTATACACTAGGCTTCACGAAATTTCTCAGATCTCCTTTTGATGGCTTGACAGGACAATGGGAAGTGGCGGAAGCGCAACCCCCTCCCCTCATGTTAGCGATCCGCGCCTAAATTTCTGATCAGCTCACGATTAGTTATATTACACATGGAAATTACAAAGTTTCGATTTCAGAATATGCTGAGGGTGATCCGCACGTGGATGGATGAGTACGCAGAGTATTACTTCATTCGGGAGCCACAAGCCCAACGTGTAGATTCGGGCGATATCAGCGCTCAGTTGGCTCTGAAGGAGCGCCTACATTGTAAGCCTTTCAAGTGGTGAGTATTCTAGTGGTTCTACTGTCTCTCGTTGTTGTCGTAGTATTTCATATTTTCATGGTATCAAGTAGACGTGCAAGACAATCGTCCTCATGCGTCGCTCGCCACGCTCACGAGTATGGCATACTATGATTGTCTTGCCACATATCCATGAAAAAGCCATTCAGCGGTTGTGAAAATCTGATTCTGTGCTAGAAAAGATTTCTCTTCTAGGTACATGGAGAAGGTGGCGTATGGTGTCCTACCTAGCTATCCTATTCCTCCCAAGAACAAAGTCTGGGGAGAAGCGAGGAATCCTCAAAGCGGGTAAGCATCTAGTTATTGTTTCGTTTCGCTCGTGCTTTTCGGAAGTATAGTATATTACTTTTGAATGGTGCGTTATTCGGGGCTTGGGTTTAGAGTAGGAGCATTTTATGCAGTAGCTTCGTTGATTTAGGACAACTCGTAATTTGCACTGAGCTGAAATTCTTTTAACGCTGTCAAGCTTCCTTCAACACCGCTGACTCTTCGAATTCTCCACAAGACATGCGTTTTGAGCATTTGAGCGTTTGACCCCCCTCCCACCTCCGCCCCCAGTTGGTGGTGTTTCAGAACTACCATTCATACTGTTTTCAATTTGAAACTAAACTACTGCGGTTGAGTTTAGTGACGACCTTCTCCTTTTCGCCGCTCGGCGAAAATTTTCGTGGTTTTTCGGAATATTGTGGGTTGGAGATCGGAAAGCGGGACTTCTCTTGGACTAAGGCCAAAATGATTACCCCCCTCGCAAAGACTTACATAAGTAAATGGAAATATGTTTAATGATTTCAAGTGTTTCGGACGTTCTGCACCAAAATGTCTCACCATATCTTACTTTCCTCTTACTATATCAATAGTGTAGTCTTGTCATTACTATGGGAAAATTCTAATTGGTGTCAAGTTTCTCTTTGCAGGCAAGTCATGATCATGTAGTTTGATTACATGGAATTTTGGGTCAGTTTGGAGGCAATGGTATACGTGGGCGGCATTCCTGGTCCTCTAGGTGTGAACGGCTGTCATGGCTACGGCGGCAATCAGGTATGTTTTTTTCATTTTCCCGGAAACACTTCCATATAAGATCGTTTATAACCTGAACCTTCCAATTAGGAGAGAAGCAAATGCGTTTCGTTCTTTTTGTGGAAATTATTTTGCCTTAACCTAGGTCCTTCGGTTGAATACGGAAGGACAACTGGCGCAAGGAGAGTGGTGTCTCACACCGAAAGGAAATCATGTCAAAGCGAAACCATTGTGGTGAAGGCACTGTTAATGGACCATGGGCCTATGATGAGGTGTGTGAGATTTTGTATTCCAAGCTAGTTCTAATTTTATTATGTTTCTCGGAGTAAAGGTCTCCAGAAAAAGAGAGTGCTCTCTTTAATGCGTCGGCGTTTCGGGCCTAGAGCAGCGTTTCGAGCGACCAGAGAAGTCTATGTCTATCTAGCGCTCAAAACGGCAAATCGATACCTATACAATCCTAATTGCTCGAAACGCTGATTCTATGGCCTATACTACGTAATCGCTCGAGTCAAAACGCTAATAGGAAGTATGAACACACCTTGAGGCAGAGTTCATACTTCGCGTCGACGCGCTATAACGCAATATCATTGCAAGGACGTACAGCAGAATGCTATAGAAAGCGAAAACAGCATGCCAGCCGGCTGAAGGTTTGCGTTCAGAGAGAGGTAGAGAGAAGCAAGAGGGTAAGCTATGCCCTTACAAAGCTAATACCGCTGCTATTTCTCCGGTACTCTCCCAAAGCACTGCTATTGCCGATCGATACCAACTGCGCAACGGCAACGCGTACCGACCCTAAAATTTCCACATACTCCATAAACCCAAGCGACCTGCGTCGATCGATTCCCTTCTGCGGCTGTGTTTAATTCTGCAGCCATGACGCGCTGTTGCAGTCGTACAGTTTGAAGCGCCTGTTCAGCGCCGGTCGAACAGCGCCGTCAACGAGTCTGAAGCAACTTGCGTGATTGCAAAACTGAGTGCGGAGTGCTAGAATAGCAGGTTTGTTGGCTTTTTTTTCGGGCTCGTGTTTGTAGGAGGGATGGACTCTTTATCATGAACTTCTCAGTTCCTATTATAATTCTGAAGACTTGCGAAATCGACCGTGTTATGTGTTGTTGCGCCTCCCCCCTCTTCACGCATTTTGTTTTAGCGCTGATGGGTGCGCAATGATGATGAACAGTTTTCGCTTCCGGAAGACCGGGCGCCTCCGCCTGGGAAAATCTTTCTCGTCTGAATTTTTCGCGTTTAGGAAACTGTCATATCATTATACTCCGTTCACGAAGTTACATGCTTGACAGTGGACCGGCCGAACGAGGGTGATCTCACCTTGACTCGATGTGTTGTTGATGAGCCACTTCAAAAATTCGTGTGGAAAGAGTTTTACCAGTAATTCAAGGTGGTTTCTTTAACTCAAATTCTATCCGCCGTTCGTTAACTTCTCGAAGGTTCCTCTCTGCATTATTATCTCTCTAAGTTCCCGAGGTGAAAGATCATCATTGCCTATATTGAACTGCGCTCTTATTAGTGATTTTTTATTTATGAAAAGGGATGTTGAAGCGTTGAGAATCTGCTTTCGAAATTTACTATATTGATGGTTAAAGTAACATATTGAGTGTTCCACTGGGTTTATTTATTATCTCTTCATTGTATTTATTTTCAAGGTTGTTTGCTACTGGTATCTATGAGGCTGCGTTCATACTTGCGGCAGCGTCCACCAGCGTACGGCAGCGTTTCTAGCGAACGCTGGCTAGCGCCAGCGACAAGGAAACTATAGATATCGATCTAGCGTCCACTCAGCTTCTCGCGGCCGTTTTGCGTCACTTCAAGAAACTGTCGCGCGAAAACGCTATACGTTGCAGAGAGACGCTGGCTTTGAATAAGCTCGAATATCTATAACTTTCCTAGTCGATTTCCGTCTGGCGTTTACTCGAAGCGCTGCCGTACGCTGGTAGACGCCACCGCACAGTATAGTCGCGGTCTTATGGTTTTGCAATTTTGGGTTTTCATTGTGTTCAGTAGTCATTGCCTTTATGTGCATCCATACAAACAGACTGTGATTTGATATATTCGTGTACTTTTGTATTGCAATAATGTCCACTGCAATTTAATGAATTACTAAGGTTTCAGCACGAACTTTTCTTCTCTTGGGCTTCGACTAGTGTACCACATTTTTTAATAGTCAGTTTATTATTGAAACCGTTTTACGATTTCCACAAAGTTGAATGTATTCCATACTGATGTGTGCTTTAGTCGTCTCTCTCTTTCGCCTTACATATTGGCACTGTTCTTCAACGGTTTCTGTTTTTTTCCGTTTCTGCTTTTCAACAAGAGATGGGGCATGTTTTGGCTTCTGATTAGTACGCGCTCTTACTTTGGGTGGATTGTCCATGGCTCTGAGAACTTGGAATGAACATTCCTGAAAAGCGGACGATAAATTTTTGCGATGGTGGTAAAGTTCACAGAAAAATGTGCTGTGTCGTAGCAGCTGCCAATCTCCAGTTCTGCGTCAGCTCTGGCAGTCCTTACAAGGGAGGTCTTTGAGGTCGTGGCGCGTTTTTTAAAAATGGTTTGTTGCTTGTTGTAGGGGTCCATGCAAGGTTTACAAAAATGGGTTTCATTTTTGCTATGCGTTTCTGGGGAGGTCAAAAACTGAGTGAAAACAATTTGACGAGAAATCGCGATTTTAACCGTGTTAATGGGCTCTGTTGTAGCTGTAACTTTGACAGTGCATAATTCATGAGGTGTCCCTTCACTATGTATTGAAAAGATAGCAAAGTAAAGCCAATAAGAAAGTGGACGGAGGGGAGTAATACCGAAGTTACTTGAACGATTCTCGCAACCGCTGTTTCGCGGTCGGCGGATGGCGGAGTGGATAGTGCGGTGGGCTCTCGCGAAGAAGGTTCTTGGATCGGATCCCTTGGCGACTAACTCTTTGCATTTTTCGGATACTTTATACGTTTTTCGGTTTTGGATTTACGACACCCGCGAGATTGCGAGGTGTGGTACAGCCCTATTTTTTGACCAACGGCGACAGCCCTAGCGCCGACTTGCTGCAAGAGCATTCTTTCACTGAAGTGTTGCCAACCCGCACGCAGGGGCTGTTAAGCGCTCATCTCGAGGAGAAAATTTTTGCTGAAAGTCTGTATATAGAGGTTATTAATGGCCCTGATGACGATTCTGACCTTTAAAATTGGCGTCTAGGTCATTTGGCGCCAACATGGCTCTGAACACCCCCTCACGCCAGCTGCGGGTTGGGATGCTGCGAGAATCTCTTGAGAAACTACAATGCTGCCTCACTATGTGCCAAATAAAGTACTTTTTTACCTTGAATTGTATTGTTTTCGATGCAGTGTCGACGAAGGTCTCATCTGCTATGCATACTTAACATTATGAATAGAAAAAGCCTCGGAAAAATGGTTTAAAATCGCTTCTCCCCAGCAAACTTTGCACTCAGTTTTTGACCTACCCAGAAACGCATAGCAAAAATGAAACCCATTTTTGTGATCCTTATTCGGACCTCTACAACATGCAACAAATCATTTCCGAAAAGCGCGCCACGACCTGAAAGACCTCCCTTGTTAGAGGAATGAAGACTAGCTGATGCGTGTAACTCTTAGCATTTCTTAAAGGTAAAATATTATGTGACTCAGCGAGCTCTCTTCCCCCTCCCGCAGACGCCTATTCTGGACATGGTCTGTCTCAGACCTCGGAGGGTCTACTTTCTCGCCGCAGCTCAAGAGTGTTGAGCATGAGCGCGCTCCCGCTCAGAACGAGTCGCCGGCCCCGCCAGACTGTCCAGTCGACGAAAGAAACGCCGCAACTTTCATTTCAGTCTGCTTCGTTGCCTAGAGTTGCTGTTGCTCGACTACCAACTCTCTCCATTTCGTTTGGAAAGAACGAAGTTAAAGTGAAAAAGATGGCACCAACAAGTGGCGAACCCGTCTGACCACATTCTTTCTTCGCTCGCATGCACATGGCGATTCCATGCATGGGGTACAGTCCTCGTCATTACGTCACTGTCGAGGGGGGGGGGCACACCGCGCTGCACTGTGACGCAACAGCGGCTGCGGCTCGGTGACGGTGAATCAGCTGATTTCGATGGAATTCGGCTGCAAATTCCCACTTTTTCAGCTCTTCAAGCTTCTAAAGTGGAAGGTGAGTTATTCTGACCAATTTAGAATTGTACTGACTCTGAATGAATCTGAAAGAATGTAAGCCATTTGAATAAATGCCTGAAATAAGGCAAAATACAAGGAAAAGAGCATAATAATCGACATAAAAATAAAGGAAATCAGAGCCAGTACAGTTCAAAATTGGTCAGAATAACTCACCTTTCACTTTAGAAGCTTGAAGAGCTAAAAAGTGGGAATTTGCAGCCGAATTCCATGGAAATCAGCCGATTCACCGTCACCGAACCGCAGCCGCTCTCTCGCGTCACAGTGCAGCGCGGCTGTGCCGCCCCGACAGTACGTAATGGTAAGGACTAGTCCTCTGGAGCATTTTTGCGAGATACACGGAATGAACAGATTACTAGAGTTTCTGCTAGAAATGCAAGACATACCAGGTTTTTGCTTACTATCATCACTGCGGCGTTGTTATCAAATTCTCCACAATATCTGGAACAAAGGATTTCTCTTCAGTGAAGAGATGACCGTCCTGAGAAAACCAGCAACTCATTGTCTGTTGGTGGGTTGCTACCCGCCCCACTGTTCTACACCCACACTGCAGTCCTCAGGTTACATTGTCATGGTTCGAAGTGGAGAGTAATGACGTTTCCCACCAACTCCCCCTCCCCGTGTTCCTGATATGGTGAAGGGATGGCTGCGTACTTCATTTGAACGTGGCGGTGGCTGCGTATTCGATGATATATAAACGTGTTTGATGCGGATGCTGGGGCGTGCCAGACGGGGTGATGGTTTGGCGCAGCGCCAACCCATTCTCCACCAATCGAACGCAACCTGGAGGTGCGCTCATTCCGCCACTCTTTGACACCGCCGCCACTGCAATACCAACTATTGCCCTCTCTTCCAGCCAATGTTCGACAGCGGGGCGCAGAAGCTCTTCAACGGAACACACAATGAAAGAAGTATCAATGGGCTTTCAAGGAAAGCGCGGAGTGGATTGCTAGTGGGGGTCGTCACCACGAGGAATTGAAACGAGGTCATACTCAGGCGATTCTGAGGAGACCAGATGCTGGTGGAGTCATCTACCCCGACGAGTTCTGGGGAGGCAGGCCTGCCACATGATATGTTTAGTAACGCAGCGTTGCGCGACCCAAGCCTTTACGTTCTTTGGTAGACCGCGTATATACAGATGTTGGCCATTAGAAAACCAACTTTGGAGCCGAGAATATAGTGACAAGCCGTCGATCGGCGAAGAACTCGTAGCCATCCTGAACTACCTGATGCGCTCTGGAAATGTGAATGCTGCTTTGTAGTTGACTAAGACAGCATCGTTTTATCTTACCTGGCTAACAAATCAGATCCATATCGCCGACAGCGAATTTCTTCACCACATCTGAGCCAAACACGTATGAGACACCACGACTGTTCCGTGCCCATCCTTGGGTGTACTGATCGGGATCCGACCATAACAAATCCTGAATCCAGAAATCTTCATTTATTCTACAGAATTGTGAGAATTGCAAAGCATTTAAATAGTGGATTCAGATCTGGAGAAAGAAAAAATCCGAAAATCTTCAAATGTCCGTCCTTCCCGCCGCCCCTCGACGGAGACTCTTGGAAAGAAATCAAAGGAAACTAGAGAATTCGGAAAAAAAACTCCGAACAACTGTGGAAGAGGTAATTAGGAGGCGGAGAGGTAGAAGTGTGTGTATCTGAAACTTCTGGGGGGGGGGGCGTAGCAAAAGTTTTCCTTAACGACAGGATGTGCCCTTGTTCGGCATGAGGCATTTACACTTTGGTTAGTCCCCTTGCTAGTTTATTTAGAACCAGCGAGTCTCACAGAGCTGTAAACCCTGTTGGACCTGTGTGCTTTTGTGAAGCCGCGAAACTGTACAAATCAGAAACTGTGGTTACAGGAAATTACAGGTTCTTGCAAGGAGGATTGTACAATTTGCTGCCCCCACCAAGCAGAACTGTGCCGTTTTCTCCTTGTTTCTACAGTTTCTTTTATCTCACTGAGGGCACATTCTTTCACTTTCAGGATGTAGATGAAGCATAGGAGGTGCTGAAATGAGATGAGGTCTACCTCGGCGACAGTGGGGTCGGATGAAGGGTACTGTCCTCACTTATAAGCATAACGAAAAGCGGTTTTTGTAAGTTGTTGGGTAGTTTGTCGGGGTGATGCCAAGGGGCATGGAATAAGCCGTCCGCGCGGTACTTCCACCACTGGTTGTTTTCGTCTTAAATCGTTCACTGTAGGTAGAAAAGGCAGCTGGAGGAAACGTGGCTTATCCCGCCCCTTCTGGTATCGCGGTTGATTATAGTGATGATATTCCGCTCGAAGGCTCGCAGCAGTCTACGGCAGAGACCGTCTTCGCTGGGTCCAGATTTAGGTGAATGGCTAACCATACCATGGCTAATGGGTTATCCTCGGGATCGAGAGGTCGTGTGATCTCGTCCATCATTGACCACGATGTCAGCTTTGGCGAAAGACCTCCATGCATTCCCAAAATTCGGCCGCTGACTAGAGAACATAGCGGCAACGAGTCGAATAGGTCCTGGAATTCATATCAACATCACAGAGAGAATTTATGACTGAATACGTATCCTACCTGAAATACATAGTACAGTTTCACAGAATAACGTCGTTTGCATTCATCATAGAATCCGTACACCTGAACATATCATCATGAGCAAGCTGCAAAACCGTTTTCACAGTTCTTGAGTATCCCAGGGCTATCCTGGAGCACAAATGCGATTAAGCGGGCCCGTGGCCAGAACACTACCCATTGCTTGGTAATTGAGGGCATCTTCACGGGTAGAAGTGGTCCAGCTAACATATGTGACAGCCTGAAACTTTTTTGCATGGTCCTGTTGCGAAACTCTCCGTAGCGCGCAAGGGGATGGGCTTTTTCACGGCCACGGTGGGAAGAAGGCACGTCCTAACGACCGGGAAGAAGTAGCTGACTACCACGAATATTCGCGCAGTATGGTCAAGGCCTAACCACTTGGGTACAGGCCGGCCATGAGCATTCCACTTTTGATTTCAAGTTTTCGGTCTTCAAGATGGTAACGTGTAGTCCTATAAGATGTAGCCTTACCTTATTGATAATTTTGCATTCATGGTTCCCACGAAGAAAGAAGAAGCATTCCGGGTAAAGAATCTTATAGCTGACTAAGAGTGTAATGACTTCTAATTGCTGACGACCTCTGTAAATTTGTCTTTGTGCCAAGCTTCAGAGCAGCTTCGAGCTGAGTTCAAAGTTCGCGGCATAATCCTGAATAGAACGGCCAGTTGGCCGGTCCGCTGCGATGCGCTATTCTGAGCCTTAAAGACACATGGTACGCTCAACACATTGAGGGTGTATGAGACTATCAGCCCCCCAGCTGTCGATGTGTCGTGGTCCCCCCGCCCAAAACTGCACGGGGTCAGAGTACGGGG